GACAACCAAGGGACCCTCATGGGCAACTGGGTCGAAGAGGAAGCTCTTCGGCGAGACACTGGGTACTCGCGGTACAAGACGTGGACGCCGAAGGAAGGCATGGGGGTGTCGCATCCCCGCGTGATTGCCCACACGGACGCCGTCGACGCCAAGGACTACCGTGCGTCGTCGAAAGCGAGTTCGTTTGCCGATTTCGCTGTCCCGCCCAACGTCGGACCGCGAGAGCGCCGTCGTCTGGAAGAGCTTCATGCTCAAGCGAAACTCATCAAGCAAGCGGCCAAGGACGCGGACCAAGACAACGATCCGACTGCCCGCGAAAGTACCAACCAGGCTTCGTATAAGGCGCACGATCCTGCATACGTTGCTCATGGTGTCGTGCGAGTGCTGCCTCGAGGTCGCGGGGGATTCAAGGGTACTCGATCACATCCACCATGGCATCTGTCTCGATTCATACGCAACCATGTCAGATTTTGATCCGTCCGTTGTCGGCAAGACGCGCAGGGAAGTGGCGGCAGCGGACGCGGCCAAGCTCCAAGGACACGTCGAAGCGCTGCCCCACCAAGCGACGGTGACTCGATATTCCCATGCGCTGACGTCTGGCTCGGTACGTCAAATGATCCATTCGTTTTCGTTGCCGTGAATCAACCATTGGCGCGTCAGGATTTGACCTTCCCATCGTCCGCTGCAGCCCCCAGCCGCAACCCATTTGGCCGGTCCACTGCTTTCACCAACGATATCCACGATGCTAGAGTACGTCGTCGCCGGATCGTGCGTACGTGTGTCATGGGGGCTGTAGGTGGTGCATGGGGAAGCGAGCGATCCGGGGGCGGAAGCGTCGCCAGGCATTGGCATCAATCTTCAAGCCCGTGCAGCCGTGCTCAAGTTGAAGCAGTGGCTCCAGGCATCACCAGGTACGAATTCAAACGTGTGCGCGACGTCACGGCATCCATCCTGAGTAGCGAAACGGAGCGCTTTGGCTCGGTTGACCGAGTCAAACCGACACGATCTCAATTCCATCACCCCCGCTCAACTTTCACGAGGGCTCCATGACGTCGGGTTGCCCCTCCTCGAAAAGGACGCGCTTCAGGTCTTTACCTACCTCGACAAGGAACAAGTGGGGCGAATCACGTGGGTAGCGCTCTTCGACCTCCTCGATGCGTAGCCATAACATATTCCTGCGTGACTATTGCAATGTGGTGTTGGTGGTATATCGCAGCCATGGCTCGTCGCGACATGGCACGGCAAGAGCTCGCACGCCGTCTTCGACGTGGAGAGATGCTGGCGCTGTTGACCTCGCGTCCACAAGTTCAGTGCATGCCACGACCGCCTCGAACGAATCTGGTCGCCCAGATACGAGATTGAAACATGCCATGCGACCCCTCCAATGTGCATGCACGTTCTTCAACTAGAAAAGGTGTTGTCTCGATGTCATGGATACGTGGTCCGTCGCGGCAACGGGTGGCCGACATCGTCGTCCACGCAAGTCCAGCGCGCTCCAATTTTTACTCGACAACTACCGAACCGATCCATTCGGTGCGCCGCGCTCACTGTCCAAGGATTTGAAACTCTTTCATTCGTGTGTGGTGCGTCGATCTCATCGACGAAAGTGGCCATGCGCTCTGTCAGCTCGTGACGGCCAGAGTCATTCCATCCAATGCCAAGTGTAAGTTAGACGTCGTGGGTTTGTGCTGATCCAAGACGGGTCAGAAGAATCGACTTGCAAACGCCGTGGTCATGCCGCCCACGAAAATGAACGGCAGCACGATCAGCGACGACTTCATGAGCAGAGCAACTCCAGACAGTCCATGGCCAGATGTGCAGCCGCATGCAACCGTGGACCCGACACCAATGAGCACACCGCCCACGACCGACGCGGCATTCGACGGCAGTGGACCTGTCGACGTACGCGACCCGGACGTTGCCGTGGCGACAGCCGACCCAGCCACGATGGCCGCGACAAAGATGAGTGTCGAGAGGTCCGATATCGTTGGAAGGCTGAGCCACCGCTTGGCTTCTTGGATTGGAGAGAATGCCTTGTCCAGGAAAATCTTGTACGACAAGGTCGCCCCCAGCGATCGCTTCAGGATGAAGACCAGGGGCAACTGGAGGCCCCCGACGACCATACCGGCCAAAGTTGGCAGCCACGCTGATTTGTGTAGTCCATGCTCTGGGAACAGGACCTCAACTGCGACCGACGACCCAAGGACTGCCATGCCGAGCAAGGCATGCGCGGGCCACGACAGTTGAAGGGTGGTGTTGACGCGGGGCCGTTTGTCTTGCCACTGGGCAATCTACCACACGGAAAACACCCTGTGAGAGGAGGCTGGCCATGGACCGTCGACGTACCAACGGTTTTGCCACGGCGGTGGCGACCAGGGTACCGATCAAGACACCGCCAAACACGGGCAGGGCGGTAGGGATCTTGGCCCCCAATTGCACGTACACCGAGCCGGGGCAAGATCCGCACACAGCCATGCCGCTGCCCATGATGAGCCCTCCCGTGGCGAGCACGGCGGCGTGGCTCGGATCCGCCGCTCGTTTCTTTTGAATCGCGTCGAATTCCTTGGGCCACACGGCGCGGAAGACCGCTTTCGACACGATGGACGTGCCGAGCGCAGCGAGGAACATCTTCATCATGGTGAACTGGGAGAACGACATTTGGTCTTGGATGACAAACGGCAGGTGGACTTGGCCCTACCATGACCACACATGAACAACGGCACTCGACTTTGGACGATACCTTGTTCATGGCGAAGCCAAACGTAGCCCCTGTCACGGCCATCAAGCCCACGGATGTCGGCGACGTCCACGCGTTGGTCGACATGGTCTGTGCTTTTTGAGAATGTTTAGGCTGCGGCCCTCCACGTTGGGTTCCCTTGATGGAACCACACGATGGTGGTCCTCCCCTTCAGCCCATATTTTTAGTAATCCGCCATGTCTCTGTCCCCAATGAAACACTCTGGATGATGATTCCTGGGATGACCACATATTCCTCATGCACCTCCACTTGTCCGATGACTAACCCGACACCATCAGACGCGCAAGGACCAAAGCTAGACATCCATTGCCCAAACAGCCTCTGCACCAGGAAGATGACTCAGTCTACCAGCTACCAAATGAGACAAGGTCTAGACAGCCACGAGAAAGCCGCTCAGGCTGTAAACGAGGTGAACAGGGGGGTCGTGGTACTGACAACGCACTTGTTTTCGAGTTACGTGATGTGCAGGTGAGTGCATAGCAATCGTGCAAGGCCTGCCAACCGTGAGATGCGGGTGCCTATTGCGTTGCCAGTGGTCCTAGAGTGGCTTTGCAAATTTTACCATGCGATTGATTTCAACGTATGTTGAATAAAAGCCAATCGCTGATTTTACATATTTCTGACTTGAGAAATTAGCCAATCATGGAATTCTTCGAGTCGTATATGTTGATGCAATCCAGGCCAAAATCGAGTGCCACAGTGGAACATGCCACCGTGGGAGCGCCCAATCGAGAGTTGCGCCAGTCGGACGTGGCAGCGCGACCTTTCGCGGGGACGCCGATTGGGGGCGTGGTTTGGCAAATCATGTCGCTGCCAACGTCGACAATGGATCGCCGACTCGGGAGTTGCACAGGCGCGGACTCCGCCCGACGAAGCACCCATGAGCACCAACTATCCATGATTGAGACCCAACGGATTGCAGGGACACACGTCCAAGTTCGACAGACTTGCGTCCTCAAGCACGGATGCGGGGGACAAAAATGTCCTCTCAACCATCCCGATGCATCTCCCCGCTGTGATCCCAGCATCATAAGATTACTAAAATGAACACGGATTCTCAGTCGAGGGATATCTTCGGGCAACAAGGGCGTAAGTCAGCCACTCTTCAACGTAAAGCATCGATGGCAACACAAAGCCCCCTGCTTTTCAACGATGCTCCGACACAACTGTCCCCGCCGTGGGCATCGCCACTGTCCCTCGGACTCATGGTAACCACGGGCGCGGTGTTTGGGTTCGCCATGAATAAGGTAAGAATCCCAACCAGTCTCGCTCGGCGCTGAAAGGCGGACGTAGGGCCAAGTACACCTGCCACATGTGATCCAAGACCAAATGACGCTCTCGCAGTTCACCATGATGAAGATGTTCCTCGCCGCGCTGGGTATGTCTGCCCTGTCGAAGGCCATATTCCGCGCAGTTCGCCCCGACGACTTCGACGCGATTCAAAAGAAGCGGGCGACGGACCCCAGCCACGCTGGCGTGCTCACTGCTGGCGGACTTATCTTGGGCACTGGCATGGCCATATCTGGCTCATGCCCTGGCTCGGTGTACGTCCAACTCGGTGCCCAGATTCCGAGTGCTCTTCCTGTGTGGGGAGGTGTCTTGGTTGGCACACTCGTCACTCTCGCTTTGATCAAGCCACTGGTACGCTACCGTTCTCGGCCCCTTCGGCACTCACCACGTGGGACATTCTAGATAGGTCAGTGGCAAGAATCCAAGCCCAAAGTGGCCACGATCGTTCCCGTGCGATGCGTCGTACATGCTGCCGTGGGCGTTATCCTGATTGGACTCGCCGTGGTGCTGGAGGTTTTCGTGCCTGAACGAGACCTGCAGGCTTCCGCGTGGCTGCCGACCGTTGCCGGGGTAGTTGTGGGCAGTCTGCAGCTGCCGCTGGTCCTGCTGCTCCGTCGATCCCTCGGTGCGACTCAATCGTACAAGTCAGCGATTGCACTTGCGTTGTACCCCATTCGCAACACCAGAGTTGGCAAATGCCTTCACGTCCCTGCAGCCACCGACCTCTCGACATTCGTCTTTGTGTTGGCAGTGGTTGTGGGGTCGGCAGTCGCGTCGGCCGTGTCGACTGACCCGATTCCAACTGGTCCAATTCCGTCCGTGTTGTCGTCACTTGTTGGGGGAGCCCTCATCGGCGTCGGCGCCACAGTGGCGTGCGGATGTACCTCTGGTCACGGGTTATCCGGGGCCGCTTTACTCATGAAGTCGTCCTTCATCGTCCTTCCTGCAATCTTTGTTGGTGGTATAGCCACAGGACTGCTTCGAAGCGTCGTCGTATCTGGCCAACGTGCATAATCAATCACGTTGTTTGGAATTTCGCATTGTGTGATGGACTGAGCGGTGCCGAGGTAGTTGCCAAGCCCATCGATACCGTTCAAGCACTGCAGCTCTTTCGGCCGGAAGGGAGCTCTGCTTGCTAAGCAAGAAACGTCGAAACATGCTCACGAGCGCAATTCTCGATGATGGCAGGATTTGTGCCATGCCTTTCGCAACGGCTTCTAATTTTAGGTTGGTTTCTCGCGGCCAGCAAGCGAACACGCGCGAGATGGGAAGACGCAAGCGCGACTTGTCCGAGCTGCCCACGGACACCGAGGAGGTCTTGCCTGCCGAGAGTCCGTCCATTCTGGGGGGCATGCTCAGTCTGGACGACGAAATGCGACAGAAACCGGCGTTAAAGTCGCCCCGCAAGTCGCACATCCCTATTTATGACCCTGCAAGAGAACCATCGCCAAACAAGTCCAAGCCCCCCCATCCGCCCAAACGAAAATCCTCTTCTACTCTACCCGCTCCCAAAGAAAACGAAGCCAACAGAGACGCAATACTACTCGAAGACAGCGTGTTTGTGCCCACCACCTCGCACGACGACGACGACAAAGATGACAATGATCCTGCAAAACCAGTCGCAGTCCGTCTCGACTTTCCCAACAGCGTGACTGGAGCGCCGCCGGCACAATTGGTCGAGTCCCGGCCATCACCGCGAAAGACTAAGGCACCGCATGGCCATACTTCAAGTCACAAAGCATGCCCGGCAGGTTCGCACCCTGTACACGCCATAGCCAACATGTCCCAGCCCACTAAAGATTCAAGGTAGCTCCTCACCCTACTCTACGAGCCATCTAATGATGGCATAGCCCTGGCGAGACGGTCGACGCCGCCGCCACTGTTGACAACCCTGATGGCTTCGACGTCACTGACTATGACGGAGAGATTGCCATCGTGATCAAAGAGTTGGAGGCACTGAATCTCCTCCACAAACAACTCATGGAAGCCAAGGGCAAGCCAAAACAACATCACGACCGCCAGGAGGATTCGAGTGGAGACGTTGTGTCAACCGACGAAAGTCCCGCTACCACGGAGTCCATTCCCCAAGCGCATTCCCAGCCAAAAAGCCCACGCCATGTGAGAACACTTTCCCACAAGGACGCGAACGAGAAATCAGTGCGTGCCAGTTGCGTGTCGGTGTGTATATACGGTGGTTTTGCCTGTAGACGATTTCGCCAGTTCAAGCCAAGTCCCCAAAGAAAACCCGCCACTCGAAACATCCCGATGCGGCGCCTCCGGCAGCATTGCCGCCCCTAACTGCATACCCATTGGCGGCCGTGCAAGATGCCTATCCGTGGAGCAAGTTTATGCTGCAGCAGATGCACCAACAATTGCTACAGAGCCCGCACCATGTCCATGGCGCGTCGACGCCCGTCGTGTACGTTCCAATCCTAAACCCCGCGTACATGGCCGAAGTCAAGCACTCCCCAGCCGACAAGCATCTGCAGCCACCGTCGCCGCCCACACCGACCATTGCCACATCGCCATCGAAAGCCCCGGACCATGTCGCTCCAGTTGAAACCACGGCGCCAGTTGCCGCAACGTCCCCATCCAAACCCATCGTTGTCAAACCGCGACCGGGCAAGAAAGCAAGCCCAAAACGACCTCCCGTCGTGAAGAAGCACACGTCCAGAGACCTAGTCTTCCCCCGGTAGTCGTTCGCCGCGTATGTATAGATAACGACTCAATGAAACGAACATTCGTTTCTCGGTCAATGGCAACGACCCACAAGGACACTCTCGACACCATGACGATGCGAGTGTCCAAACCGCACGACGAGTTGGCTGTGTGCAATGAAAAGTATGTCAAGGACTGCACCGAGCTCGTCATGTCGAGCCGCGGCATCGACGTGATCGGCAACTTTGACGCGTTCGTGTCGCTTGAAGTGCTGTGGCTGAACAGCAACAATGTACGATGCACATCCTCGCCCGATCCAAGCGGTGGTGTCCGTAGATTGAATCGATCACGGGCCTGGATTCTTGTGTCCGCATCCAGTACTTGTACCTCCAAAACAATCGGATTTCGTCGCTGGACGGATCGCTCCGCCACTTTTCATTCTTGAAGGAGCTCCGTTTGTACAACAACATGCTCCAAGATTTGCACACCACGTTGAAACTCTTGGAGAAATTCGTGCATCTGGACGACCTGGGTACGCGCTTGTCTTTTGTCCGTTCGTGGTCAGCAAACGACGTAGATTTGTTTGGGAATCCGCTCGCGGAAGAAGACAAGTACCGACTCCACGTGATCGCGAGCATTCCATCCTTGCACGTCTTGGATCGGCACGTGATCACTCTCGAGGAACGAGTGGCCGCGAAGAAGTGCGTGTGCCATATTCACGACGCCCGCTTCAACTTGGAGCGCTAGGCTGGCCATCAAGCGTTCTGGTCTCTCGGCCACTGCATCGCCGCATGGTCGCCGACCCAAAGTGTCGACGGCCGAGCGGTACGCTCCATTGTCAGGAACGGTCAAGATGCTTTTGAAAGAAGTCGCCACCATTGAGCGCGAGCAGCAGGTGGGCGCTCGTGCATGTTGGGCATGCACACGTTGATGCAGCACGCGCTCGTAGCAAGCGCAAGACTTGGAGCGGAAAAAGTGCTTTGACTTGATCTCCGAGACAAATGTCGGGCCAGGCCCGACTTCCCCTCACACGACTGACGCAGCCAAGGGCATGGCGCGTGCATGCGGCATGGACGAATGGGTTTTTTGTCATCTGCGCAAGGTGTTTCGGAATTTGGACTCGAAGAAATTGGGGTGTGTCCCTAGGCTTCATATCTCTCTGCATGGGTGGATGTGTTGTAGGGGTGTCTTGGGCACGCAATTTCCCACTCTCGTGTCCGAGATGCTCGATCAAGGCCACCAGTTGATCTGGAACGACCAGCCGCTGACGGAGGAGTCCAATATCTCGGCCCTGCTGCCTCTTCTCGGCAAATCTATTGGACCGGACCCCGACGACGACGATGAAAAGCCCAGGCATTTGATTGCTTGGGGAGCGTTTTCGCAGGTAGACACATCGCTGTGTAAGACGATGCACGACGCTCAGCGTGGTGCAATCGGCCAGGCGCTAACTCAAAAACACGTTGGCCCCAACCACGAGCCTTTGTTTTGGGCACCACTGGGGCTTGCCGCCCTCGCCGAGCGTTCGGAGGACTACTTCGACAAGGCGAAAGCGCTCGAGAAGAAACTGTCTGTCATGGCCACCCATCACAACGTACTCTTTCATTTCCGTACGGTCAACATCGCACACCGCCCACGTGGTTGTTTTCAGGAGCTCAAGCAGCAAGTCCATGTTTTCACGCAACGCGGCTATCACCTCGACGCGCTCAAGGAACAACTCTCGTCATTGTCCAAGGATGAATTCGTCTTGCATCATCGAGAGCAGCAGCATCAGACCCGGCCAGCGGTCTTGCGGGTACAAATGCGCCTCGCCTCCTCCGCACCGCCGCCTACTGCGTTGTGGCGAATATGTAGGATTCGGTGTCCCTGTACTCGTACAAAACCAAAGGACGTCATCACGTCGGCGACGACGACGTAACAGGTGCCTCGATTGTGTCACTGGCAAAGAAATACCACGTCAAATCCAAGGTGCGGCCGACGTTTGTGCAGCTGTGATGGAACCCCTCGACTAGGATTTCCAAACGTTCCTTCAAGCCAAAGAAGCGAGGAAGCCCGTCCGAGTGTCCAAGGAATCGATCGCGGTTTGAACCGCAGACAATTTGAGAGAAAAACGTGAGCACGAGATGCCATCCGACTCCAAACTCTCGACTCTCCACCCTGGATTTGTCTGCATAATTTGAATCCGTCGATGATGGTGCACCGGCCTTTCAACGATCATTCCTGTAACATTAAGGAAACCACACGTCAGAACGTAGGAGAGAGTATATCTCTTCCACCAAACGCATGGTGGCTGCCTTCCTTTTGCCGCTGTCAACGTCGCCGTTTCTGCATGCGAGGCCCTGCTAAAGCAAACGCAAAGGGTGTCCAGTGGGGTTGCCCAAGTGCATTTGTTTGGCAGCGTGAAAGGATCCAGAATTCCAGCAAGCCCGGATGTATTCATGTCGCGACGAACGCCATAACAAACACACTTTACCTGGCAACTACTTCGACTTCGACCAAGTACGCAATCTGGACTTGGGCCTCGTTGTACACGATGTACTCGTTGTGGGACAACGCCGGCGTGGCTGGCTGGAACGTGAACCCCGTGGGCAACGCTTCGGTCGCCAGCACGTCAAAGTACTTGTGTGCCGAGTACGAGTACGTCGATTTGTTGCCCAATTCGATCGTCACTTTGCAGTGCACGGCACGGTCGCGGCCGTTGACGTGAAATTCCTTGCGCTCGACTTCCACGACGGCCTTTTGCGGCACCTCCCACCGAAGGCCAAAAATGTGCAGCGGCCGCAACGACACCTCGGACGATTTCTCCCACGCGATCTTCGTCTGGCCGGTTGCCAGCGCTTTGTCCAAGAGCGCTTGACCATCTCTCTCAAGCTGGTTGGCTTGAAATTTCCAAGACGTGTTGCCTAGCTTGTCGGAAACGTCGGGCGCGTTGCCGATGGCCCACGCAGACGGGTACGACATCTCGACACCAACCTGCTGCAGCTTGCCAAGGGGAATTTGATACGCCCCCATCGACGTCACCAACGTGCCGGCTGGATTCGGCTGATACTTGGCCATGGCAAACGTGCTGTGCGTCCCATCCGCCGCTGCTTCCCGATACTCCGACTCGACGACCTTGTGCAGGTTGCCCAACGCAACGTCGCACAGGAGCATGTAGTGGACCTTTCGCTTGTCCGACAGTGTGTACGGGTTGCCACCGCAATACTTGAGACTCTTTTCGGACGCGTCGGCAAAGTAAATGCCCTTGCCGAACGCATATCCTGTCACGGGGGCTTCGGGGGGCGCGATGCGCAGCCCGCGGGACAGAATCCCCATCAAGTTGGTCTTTTTCGTTCCGTGCCACAGCAACGTGTGGTGTCCAGGCACTGTTAGCGACTCCATGCGCTCCGCCTCGCCTTTTCGGTGAACTTTAAACGCACGGGAGACTTTGTACGCCTTGGTCTTCGAATGAATACCACGTTCAAAGTAGCGTGAAATCATGTCGAATTCGGCCGTCGACGATGGAGCCAAGTGCACTTGAAGCGCATCGTAGCAGTAGTCGAGAGGGTGCCGGTTGGTCGCGACGCTCTTGGCGCCAAGAATGATCTTGCTCGTTTCGGCAATCTCGAGCAGTTGCCGGACTCGGGTGATTTCCTTATTCACGTCGTCCTCGGACATGAACGCAGCGAGGGCCGTATCGCTCGAGGCGTCACTTCGCGGGACGAGTTCGTAGTATCGACTGGATTTCTCGGCCACGGCCTCGCTGGCGGCTCGCCACGTGTCCGCCAACGCGGCGATCGCTGTTGGCTCCAATGGCGCGTCGGTGGACTTCATTTTCTTCAACACTGCAGCGTTCTCGTGCAAGGACGTCTTGATCTCGTTCAAACGATCCAATGCCGTGACCAAGAGGCTAGGCTGCAGCTCGACCAGCGGAATGTCGTCCAGGCTATGGTTGTAGGCAGACGCGGCTTCTTCCAGACACCGAATGTCGGTGACGACGCCCAAGACTTGCTGGACGCCAGCATCGAGAGCAGACGCCACCGCGGACGCTTGGCCGTGGAACGGCTCCGTGACCTTTGCATCGTACACGTGCCGCTCGAGACGGCGTGGGTTGAGCATATACTTGCCGTTCTTCTTCTCAAAAGCGTCGCCACCATTGTCAACGTGCACCGCGACTCGGTCGAACACGTTGCCTGTCTTGCTCTTGAAGATCTTCTTGAATTCGTCGACCGCCGACGCGGCGTCACTGAACGGCGTGTGCTGATACTTGCCCGACTCGCCTACGCGCCCCCAGTTGGTAAAGAGCACGTACACGTTTTGGACTTCGTTGTGGACGACTTGCATGCGATAGAAGACGTTCACGCCGTGCTGCCCAGACTGGACGTCCACCTTGGTGAGGACGACAGAGTACTCGATGGCGCCGTCAACATGCACGCTGGCCTTCGGGCCAGCTTGGCAGATGCTGCTCTTAGCCAGTGGAATGGGCACCGTTTGGACCAAGCCCTGGGCCTGGCACTGATTCAAGTACACAGTCGCATCGTGGTCGACGGGTGGCACGTCGGCAAACGTGATTGGGGTCGCAGACCGGATCGGTGGGGCGGAAGTGTTGGTCAGCCGCTGCAGCAACACACCGGAGGGCTGTTCCTTGGCCAAATCTAACGCCGACTTCTTGCGTTTGTCCAGCGCATTCACCTTCACGTTTTCTTGTAAGAGCAGGTCCACGATAGCGACGTTTTCAAACGAGCCGTGCGCGCGGGGCTGGACAGCCAAGTGCAGCGCGGTTTCCCCAAATGCATTGCTGACGTTTAGAGCGCTGGTTTTGTCGGAGCTGGACACGTGAATCGTCCACACCTTGGTCACTCTTGCCCCCGACGCGTCGTCCTGCAACGTGGCAGTCGCTCTTTCTGCATGCGAGACCCCACCCAAGCAAATTCGTAGATCGTCCAGGTGGTTGCGCACGATCGCGTGCATCAGCACCGTGTTGCCCTGGCTGTCTGTGTCTTGGATCTTTGCGCCGTGGTGGAGCAGCATGGCCAACGTATGCTCCCGCAAGTACACGGATGGAATGTGCACGGCGCGAATCAGCGGTGTCACCGACGTCACGACGTCCGTGGTCTGCGGCGAGCACACAATGGGCAGGCCGGTCGTGTAGCGTCCGTTCGGCGACACACGGCACGTCGACAGGAGGTAGTCGACCAAGTCGAGCAATTCGAGTTGCGACGAATCCGTCGTCGGCCGGGCAAAGAACCGATCGAGGAGTAGGGTCAATACAGTCTGTCCGTCTGCGTCCGCCTGGTCGACGTTGGCACCGACCCGGCCAAGGAAAACCAGCGATCGAACGACAGTGGAAAAGTCGGGGGAAGCATGTTTCGTGGGAGTTTTGACGTTCTTGAACGCATACACGAGCGGGGACTCGTTTGCGTGTGTCAGTTGGTGCGCCAACTTGGCGTCCAAATGCAGGAGAAATCGCATCAAGTTCAAATTGCCGTGGACGGCGGCAAAATGCAGTGCCGTCTCCCCACGGGCAGTAGACTCCGACACCGACACGCCGGCATCGACGAGCTGCCACGCAATGGTTCGCACGATGCCTTCAAACTCGACGGCCTGCTGGGCGAGGACATGCAGCAGCGTTTGTCCGTCGGCGTTGGTTTGGGTCAACGTCCTGTCCTTGGTGTTCAAGAGGCCCGTGATGAGGTTTTGAGTCTACAGCGCCATGCACACACATGAGAACTCGGGGCATGGCAAAATGGCTGTACCAATTGAAATCCGTGGCTGCGAATGGAATCCTCGACAGCTTGGCGCCGGCAGTACCCTGCATTGAGGAGCATGTGGCACACGCCTTGCCACTTTCTTCCAACGGCGTAGCAGTACAAGCCGAAGCGGGAACGGTCTTGAGTGAACTGGACGTGAATGTTCGCCCCGTGTTGGATGAGGTTGGTCACAACTTCTTTCCGGCCATACTTCATGGCGATGCCGAGGGCCGTGTCCCCGCGGTGGTTGACTACTTCCAGCAACGATGGTGGCGCCATTTGAAGCATGCGGAGTGTGCTCACGACGGCGCCCGTCGCAGCCCCCAAATGCAAACACGAGCGCCCGAGCAAATCTTGGCCGTCGACTTGGATGCCGTCGACAAGAGTGAGGTTTCCGACCGTCTCGATCGGGTCTGTTGTTGGCGCGGGCACAATCTCCATGTACCGCTTGAAGTCGTCGGCGGATTTCGTCGGGTTGTCGGTATGCCAGTCCAAGTTGACCTTTTGCAAGGCGAAATGGAGCGCGGAAAAGCCAAACGAGTCGACAGCATTCACGTTGGCGCCATGCAACAAGAGGACGCTTTCGACGTCGAAGGTCGCGTCCGGCGTCATCACGGCGGCATTCACAGCAAAGTGCAGCGGCGTTCGTTTCAAATGGTCCGGCGCGTTGATGGCAGCTTTGGACAGCAAGAGCAGCGCGCGAAGAAGATGAACATCTCGATTCGCACATGCAAAGTGCAGCGGTGTTCGGCCCCGTGTGTCGCCGAGACCAATCGCAGGAGCCGAGCTCGAGTGCTGTAGTAACACCGATATCGCCGATCGTTTCCGCAGTCTTGACGCAGTCTCGGGCGTCTCTACCATGTCGGCTTGTGCAGTGGACGTTGTGGATGCGTTTTCTTTGTCGGGGCCATTGTCGTCATCGTTGACGCGTTTGCCGGTGGCCTTCCTCGGGGACTTGGATGCATGGCTCGCTTCGTTTCCTTGTTGTTTGGCCGAGCCATCCACGACCTTGGCCTTACTCACACGGTCTTCAACACATAAAAAGTCCCACCCGTCCTTGGCACGCGTGTTGTACGCCAAGCCAAAGTGGACTTCGTTCTCATGCAAGTCAGCCTTGGTGACAGAGAACCCTTGCAAAATCGCGCTGCTGAGTGCCGACAGCCCAGCCTGGTTCAACGCGCACACGTCCGCGCCATGGGTGAGCAGGACTTCCGTGATGGCTGCGTCATTGCGCTGCAATGCGACATGGAGAGGCGTTTGGAGTCCTTCGCCTTCCGTGAACGAAGGGTTTGCTCCATGCTCCAGCAATAACCTGGCAATTTCGGTGTGGCCATTCGACACGGCTGCAAACAACGGCGTCACGCCCTCGATGTTGTTTGCCTTGTCAGACAAGTAAAAATTGGGGTCCGCGTGCTTCTTCAGCTATTCCAGCGGCCATTGTCAGGTACCTATCATGCGGCGTTGTCCTCACGTACCAGAGCTTGGACGCCAAGCGCATGTCCGTTTTCGCTCGCCAGGAGAAGCGCTGACTTCTTCGAGACCGATACGACATTTACCGTCGATTTTGTCCACTTCGGTCCACATTCAAGCACGATGTGCAGCACGTCGTCGCCCTTCCATCCGGTCGAAGGTGAGAGGCGGCGTGCGGCGGCCAGATGCAGCACTGTTTCGTTGGACGATGTGAGGCGTTTGGCACGATCGCATGGGTCGACCTTCCCGAAGGTGACGACGGACTCGACGTTGACCGAGTGTTGCAAGTACAACCGAAGGAGTGCACAATATCGTCGATCGTCTGCCACGTAGTCGACTCCGGCTTTGGTCGGTCGTTCGTGCTGGACAAGAGCCATCAGTGGCGTGAATCCGTCCGCGTTGACATCGCTCATCGCGGCGGCCATCTCGGCCTTTGTCAATTTCTTCACGATGGCTTGAATCGTTTCAATCGAATGGGCCGTCGCCGCGACGTCCACGAGGTAGTGGAACCAGTTGTTCGCATTCATGTCTTGCACAATGGGAAAAGAGGGCGCGGTCTCGACCATCGCGGTCAAGTATTCCGGATCGTGGTGCACGGCTTCCATCCACAGGTTTTGACCGTTCGGTCCCAGCGCAGTCAAGTCGCTGTGTGGAAGGAACTGGTCGAAGAATCGACGGTGCTTCTTGGCCATGGCAAGGGCCAGCGGCTGCCCAACGTGGCGCATGTCGTCGTGCGTGATATGCGCCTTGTGTTTGATGAGGAGGGTCCCAATCGAGACGAGGAAAGAATCGAGTTCGTCGTTCGGCAGTCGCTGCAGCACTTGCTGGAGGGGAAACTCAAACGCTGACGTGGGCACGTTGGGACTCGCTCCGTTCGCAAGTAGAAACTCGATCTCGTCGATGGTCTCCGCCAGCTTGCACTGGAGAAACAACATGGTCGCTCCATTCGCATCGCGAAAATCGATTGCGTGCTCGTGGGCCGGGGCGATCGCGACCAAATAGCGCGACACGTCGTACCGACCTTTCAACGCGGCGACGGCCATGGGCGAATACCCCCACGCATTGCGAAACCACGCCGCAGCGTCGACCGCCACAAGCAACTTGACGCACGACAGCCACCCATACCCCGCGGCATAGTGCATCACGCTGTTTAACGACGTATCGACGGCATTTCTACACCATCGAGCATAAGGGCGGTGATGGAGGATCGTCCAGTTTTCAAGTACTCACGCATTGGCACCGGCATTTAGAAGCGCCACGGCGACTTGGACATGCCCGTTCATGACGGCGACCATGAGCGGCGTTCGGCGAACTTTGTTGAAGACATCCACGGCGATTCCTTTGTGTTGGAGCAGCGCTTGGACGCAGTTGAGATGACCAGCCTCGGCCGCGAGCGCCAGCGGCGACTCCTTCCCTGACGTGCCCGCGTTGGCATTGGCTCCCTTTGCCAACAAAAACATGACCACTTGGTCGTGGCCGTTCTGGGCGGCGTAGTGAAGCGGTCGGAAGCCAAGCCACGCGGCCGATTCCACCGCCGCCGCCACATCCGTGGCAGAATGCTCTAGAAGCAACTTGACGTTGTCGAGGCGCCCGAGTCTTGCTGCAATCGTCAGCGGCGTGTCCTTGGATTTTGTCCGCAGCGATACGTCAACTCCTGCCTGCAAGAGCCGCTTCAACGGCTCCGACCCTTGACACGCGGCAGCGTAATGAATGGTAGCCCAGTTGCCAGCGTCTACTTGACCAAGTCCAACCTGGTCCAGCTCGGCCATCAACGTTTCCAAATGCGCTGGATTCGGGTTGATGGCGGCAAAATGCAACGGCCGGATCGCATGCTGACTGCCTTTCTTCAACACGGACACCTTCTTGAACGGCTCGAGGGGTGGCGACCCAAGCACTTGGCTGTGCAAGTTGTTGTAGCCCCATCCGCCACGTGCGACCAGAATCGCGACGAGTTTGCTCAGCAAGACGTAGTTGCCGCTTCGAGCGAGACACGGGATGTGCGTCGCCGAATGTTGGACCCACGAATCGCCGGGGTAGATCAGCATGATCATTTCATACGTCGTCGTTGGATTTTCCCACAAAAACCGCTCCAAGTTGCTGTCGATGCCACGGGTCGTGATGAGAGGCGCGACAGAGCCCGTTTCGTCCTTTAGCAACGCGTTGTTGCCTTCTTTGCCGCCGCGACTCGCATTCAATGCACGCCTATACCACCAACAGCAGGTTCACTCGTCGAGTTGGATCGACAGACGGTCCGTGCGCACCGATTGTAATCGCTAAAGGAGCTCGTGTGCTTGCCCGTATCCAGCGTTACCAGCGCGCACACGGGCTTTTTCGCAAACTTGGCCTTGTCGACCTTGGCCGCGGCCACGAGCGCGGAAATCGCCTGGACCCACGATGAGCAACTTTAGAAGATATGGCAACGCACAAACCTTCAGGTCTGCCCGTTCGATAGCGTAATGCAAGGCGGTTTTGGGGACCCCCGCACTGCGCGTGACAAAGAACGTGTGCATGTGTCGGTGCAGCGCAGGTTTCTGGACCACACTTTCAAGCAAGTGGTGGTCGCCGACCAGGACAGCGCGGATGAGTTCCTTGGCGCTTGATACGACATCGCTGCACTTGGACCGGAACGCGTGGTTTCCAGTCATGGCATCGTCGGTGAAATTCTCCGCGTCGCGCACTTGGACGATTCGTTTTGGCAGCCCCGACCATTTGTCCGTCTTGATTGCAGCAGCCGTCGCCGTGGGAGTCGATGTGGGTTTTGTTGTCGCTTCCGCCGCCGCGAACGCCGTCCTGCGCTTCTTGAGCGGCTGCAACATCTCGTCCGGGACCTGCTCCCCCGCATCGACCTTGGCCAGAATGCTTTGAATCTATCGAGATGCCATGGGTGAAACCAAGCAAAATGCGTCACGCACGCGCTCCAAGTGTCGTTTGGGTAGCTTGAACTCGCCCGGTGACGGCTCGTCCAGTTGAATCTCGCACATGATGGCCTGGACTGGGATCGCGTCGTAGTTGCCGACGTGGTACATGTTGTCGGCCACGACCTTATCAAAGTAGAGCACATTCACATGAGCAGACGCATCGTCCAGCATGTCCTCGATCGTGTCGTCGAGGAGCTGCGCGATCCAGAAGCGCTCGCCGTGCTCGTCGTCGTCACATCGGACCGCGACGACGCTCATCGCTTCAAACAGCGTGTTGACGCCATCTTCGTCGTACGCGACGGTCTTGACCGACGGTGGCGTCGCTGGTTCGCTTGCCTTGGCACCGGGTGCTTTGCGCTTGACTTGCTTGGTCCGTTTCGTTCGTGGGGCCATGCCGAATCCGAAAATGGCGGCGGCCGTGGTCGATTGTAACCATGCCGTCGACCACCACTCTGCCGTTAGCCTGTCGGGCGTCCCACTATGCTGGGAATGAAGGTTGGATGCTGTCGACAGAGACGCGATGGCTCAGGTTCGGGCGCTTCCCTCTGTGCATGCAGCATCACGGTGGGACCCACCATCACGACCCATCGGGGGGGGGCGGGCGTTCTGGTCGCGGGGGTGTTGGAACCCGACTCAGTACACAAAAATGGACAAAGTGCCGCAGCCAAGGACTTCGACGTGCGTTCGCACGTCGGATCGCCAACTGCGCACAACGACGACTGCCTACGGCAAGGCGAATGGGTCGTGGGCAGGATGGCCATCTTTGGTGGACGAGATGCAGGGCGCATGCTTCGATTGCCCCGTCCGCATGGCTCCCATTCAACGTCATTGTGCTTCCAACGCACAACATGTTGTTTGGGATGTGCCCACTTGTGTGCATTCTATACCCTACTCGTACGCCCCCACATGGCGTCTGCTTGGCCCACCGACGACGCTTGAAACGCGACCTCACCGCCACCCGACAGACCAACTGCTCGGTATGATCCATGGGGGCACCGGTCAGCACCCCGTGGATAGGATGGACGACGTGGGATCGATGTCAATCCAGTCTCTGAATTGACGAGGTACGTTGCTCGGTTTGCATCGCAGCAGCACGTTCCTCTGCACGACGAGGGATGGACATGCACATACACGAAATGGAGAGTGCGAGGGGGACGTGAAGCGCTAGCAAGCGCGCATCGACCGCATTGCCAAGCACAAGAGGGACCATGCGGCGCGTCTTTTACTAGAACATGGCCACTGCCCCATGGCATTGGCACCACCACCATCTCTTTTCGCCGTGTACCGACGATCGTTTGTTTCCAAACCAGGAGACCGTATACGGACGGTCCACGACGTGGAAAGCATGAGTGCGAAGGCTCGAGTCGACGGATCGGTTCGATTGTTTCAGTTGTTTGAGCAGTGACATGCCTTCCGACTAGCGAAGGCAAATCGTCTGGAGGGTATAACAGGGCTCGAACGATAGACGATAGTCCCATCCTCACCCCGTCCACAAGTGGTTGTCGGGGTTTCGTCACCGCTATCTAGTCAATGCGGTCAGGAAAGCTTGGGCAAAACGCCACAACGGCTGCGGACGCACTGCCGCGAGTCCGTACGCTCCATCGCGGCCGAGAGATGGCATCTCCAAACCCGTACAAGGCCAACGAGTGATCCCGAACAAGAACACGCCAGAGATGCAGTCCAGAGCACCATTCCACAATGTGTGCATGTCCTAAACAAAACGTTACCACGATGGCCAACCCATACACAGGTTGTCGCGGCGCCGCGACGTAGTCGTTGTGATGTCGACCGTGCCTTCGACCATGTGCCAGAGCCCTCGGAGACACACAAAGTTGCAGTGGCCATGGTAGCGGAGTGGTGCGCAACGACCACCGTAGACAAGATCGAACTGAACATGAGAAATGTCAGCGAGTTCGCCCCCGGCGTGTATTGCCGGCGGTTGAATTGAGATACCACAACACACACGGGGAATAAGGCGCCTCGCCTAACATCACCGTCGACACAGGCCAAGGTGATCAAGGCCGCGCCAATGCTCGATGCACACCTCTGAGCGCAAATGCCACGGCACGTTGCTGTGATGCACGGGAAGCATCCGCCAGCTGCCCATGCCGGGCGCACTGGAAGCGCTGCAACCGTTGACGGAGCACGGCTGGGTCCCGTTCACCTCGTGAGGATTCATTTTCCTGTGCTGTCATGGTTTGGTTTACCGACGCATGGTTGGACTGGAGAGGCGTCGTGGCGGACGAATGAATCCGTGATGGCAACGTGCTGCCGTCTGATGCGTGCATGCGTTCTTCACGTGCATGGAGTGTTGGGTGAGATCAAAGCCGTGCAGCAAGGAGGTCGTCAGAGAGACATGGGGGCTTTGGGCCTCGCTGAATCATGTCCCAGACGGCTCGTCGCTGTGCTTCCACCATCCTTGACGTCGCTAGCTACACGGCCATGCACAACCTGCCGGTGCACATGGTCGGCGTTCCGGTACTGGTCGTGTTCACTCTCAGCATTCCCGTATTTGCCATTTTCGTCATGGACACCTGCCAGGACAAACTGGTCGACTTGAGCACCAAGAATGGCTTGCTCTACAACTCTGACGTGATGGGACCTCAAGCGGTGGCCGCCACCGTCGTCGCCTCTTTCGCGCTGTAGGGGCACGAGGGCTGCCAGCCGAACAAAGCCGCACGAGGGAATCCATCGTTGACGACATCGCTCTTCACCATGTCATGATTCTGTGCCAAGTCGAAGTCGTGGCGGTCGCGCGCGTTTGAATTGAGACGCATGCACGATCCTGTCGACGCCACCGGCATGTCCTGTCCATTCGGAGTTCCATCGCGATATTTGCCAACGTGCTCATTTCCCTCAACGAATCTCATGGCAATCGCGTAAAGAACAAGCTATCAATGCAAATGCTGCCGCGCATAGCCGATGGTCCGCGCGAGGAACGCCTTCAAGGCAGTCCTGCTCAACGCAACCAACAAGCTTTTCCCAACTGACCGATCCTTCCAAAGGATTCCATTCCTTCCGCGGGCTCTTACGTCACGGCCTCAGCAACGATGAAACGGCGTTAAGCATCGTCATGCACCGCATCAGCTCGAGAAACATGTACGAGCTGTGCTGTCGCTGTGGCCGGGACGTCACACAAGTGGCTGCCAGTACTCGTGGTGCGGTCGGGACAGCAAGGCACACAGCATTCGATATGGAATCGATGGATTGATGGGTTAGCCATTCCCTGCCGCGGAAACGCGGGGGACATCGTGGTGTTCCGACAGGTTGCCGAGGTATTTGCTGTACTCGTCCACGCGCTCGCGGTACGTCTTGGACGCTTGCTTCTTGATGTCCTCCTCTTCCTATTCAGTTCACGTGAGCCTGCGGCGTCGACTCCATCTCATCCATTTTATCTTCGACGTACTCGTTTGGCCTTAAACTTGAGATGCTTCTGCTGTGCCGCAGTCATGCCCGTGATGGGAACAACGACCTCGGAATCTTGCTTCTTCGTCGAGTCACCGCGGTCGCCGTCGTCACCATGCTCGCGCTTGCGTTTCTTCTTGGACTTTTTGGACTCTTTGAGTGGTTTGCCCTTTAACGACAGCTTCCCGCCCATTACGTTGCCATACTTCTCGCGCTCCATCCGGCCGATCGGATTCTCGGCACCTTTGGAAATATCCAATCTCCAAGAATTTTTTCGAATATTTCAGTTTCGACAAGATTCTAGAAAATATGATACGTCGAATCTCTGGAGATTGAACAGTACTGGTATTGAATTTTCCACCTTTGATCGAAACAACGCCAAACGTACTATTAGTAGTACTATGCAGTGGTGACTACTAACTCTTCGAATGTTTGGT